GGTATTGCAGTACGGTAGCCAGGTTGTTGAGACTTGTTAGGGTGTCCGGGTGCTCTGGTCCGAGCACTTTCTCCCGGCCCTCCAGGGCGCGCCGATTCATCGCCTCCGATACACTGTACTTTCCTTGTCTCCACAGCACGATAGCCAGGTGGCTGACACTCATGAGGGTGTCAAGATGACCTGCTCCAAGAATCCTCTCCCGTCCCTCCAATGCACGCCGGTTCATGGTCTCTGATTCATCGTACTTTCCGAGATCACTCATCACACTTGCTAGGTAGGATAAACACTCCAAGGCGTCAGAATCGTTCGGGCCCAATAACCCCCCAAGATCCTCCAGCACATTCCGAAGTATCTCCTCCGCCTCCTTTGCCCTCCCTTGGTGTTGCCTCACTCGTCCTAGGAGCGTGAATCTGCTATGACCTTTATCCCAGCTTTGCTCCTTATTCCCCTCGCGAAATCTGATACATCGACCGACCTGTGCTTCTGCATTGTTGTAGGATCCCAAATGGAGAAAGTATTCTGCCATGCGGAAGCAAAGATCTTCGGAAAGAATATCCATTCTACCTTTGGTTACCGCAAGTGCATGTGGAATGTATGACTTGCAAATATCCCGCAGCTCGTGCTCATATTGTGGGAACATTCGGGAAATTATTCTTAGTGCGTTGTCACTCCATCGCTGCAACTCTTCCGGTGATGAATAGACCTGTACCGATAGCTGGATTAAACGGTGAAGCTCATAAAATGTCTCGCCTTTGTGTTTGGTGGCAGTAATTAATGAGAATCCCAACAGTTTCCCAACAGCCCGACGGAATTCAACAGGATCATCCATCCCTTCAACCCCACATTCTCTCAGGAGCTGCTCGGGGATATTTTGGCGATCCACGAATGCAATTAGCCGCAAGAGATGGCCGGCTGTCGGCATCTGCCTCGAAATTCGGTCAAAGGTGATGAAGTAAGTGCTCAAAATACTTTCCGTCACGTCGGACTCCCGGCGGATATCGCTAAACTGCTGTGAAAGTAGATTCGTCCTTCGCTGATCGTTCTCTCGGAAAATTGTCCAGTAGTCGGAGGGCGGTGTTTCGGTCTCGGCCATGAAAGCTGCTGAACCTACAACAGCCAGCGGCAGGTGATCGACCGAACCCAGGATCATGGCAACAACCTCCTCTTCCCCATCCCTCAAACTTCCCCAGTTTCCAAAGTGTTCGAAAAACAGTGCCTTGGCCTCATCCGTGGCCATTTTTTCAACACCGATCCTTTCGCACTCTTGCCGGAATGCAACCTGGCGAGATCTGGTGGTGAATATTAGAGTGCCTCTCGGGCCATGTGGCACAAACCTAGCGATGGGACTGTTGTTGCCAGCAAAGTCCTCCTCGTTGTCGGCGTTGTCAATTACTAGGATCCAATCACGGTTGTCTCGGCCTTCAAACCACCTCTTTATACTTAACAGGAATCCCTCTTCTTCCACCTCAGCGCTAGCTAGAGGATTCCGAACGTGTTTCCCAATAGCCCTGAAGTCCTCCCTAAACTTTAACGCTCCACTTCCTTGCACCCAGAAAATGTCACAATCGGCCTCACTTGCGCGCCGATACACGTATTCGAGGGCGATCTGGGTTTTTCTGAGCCATGTTAGTAAACGATCCAGATATACAATTATTGAATACACATACCCAGCACCTCCTAATCCATGAAGAGCTATCCGGTTGTGGCCATCACGCTTGCAATGCCTTTCTACCGAGTGAATGAGATGTTCACGGCCGGTGAATTTGCGATTCCTGCTGTAGGGAATTATCCGATAAGGCTTAGATATCTCTTCCGGTCGCAGTAGCGTATCAGCACCCAGCCGAAAGCTCTCGAGAATGCCGGCCATACCTCTTTCCTCAGATTTAAATGTGCATCCTTGATATATCGTTCCGACATTGGCCGCATAGCTCTGGTGGCCCATATTTAGGTTATGGTTGTTGCTACCGGAGACATTATGATCCCCTGAATTCCCGCTAAATTCCCCGCTGATATTGGCTTGGATTTTCCTGTGAATATGCTTAGATGAGCGCTTCTTTTTTCTTCTTCTTTTAATTACGCAGACATTAAAGGCAGGGCGAACCCACTGATCCATCGTGCTCCTGGCTCACCCGACGAGTAGCGCTGGTTTCGAACGTCGAGTATAAAAGTTGTGAGATGTCGCTAGCGTAATTGAAACAGGAAGTATAGCCTAATTGTTGCCTATTGGGGTGGTCCGAAATTGTTTTCGCGGGACCCTGAAACAACTCAATAACCGAGATGTAGTACGATAAAACAAGTAGTCACGGACCCAACCTTGGGTACGGGGTTTTTTTTAGTTCTTTAAGTTTGAGGCAGCTGTGCGTGCAATCTTAGCCAGGGCGATACCACTTCTGTGGACGCTGAGCAGTTGGTGTGGGGACGTTGTGTGGGTGTTCTTGTACTCGAGTACGGTACTCGAGCAGAGCGACAGTGTGTTGAGGTAGTGGGGAAGGATGAAATTTGTTCTTCAGAAGTCACAATTCTTCCCCGCCCGGGCTGAGAAAAAGTTGGGGCAAAAGCAAACATGGCGTGGGCTGTGGCTGGTGATTTGAGCACGCTTGGCACGGTATGCGAGACATACAGTAGTATGACAATGACTTTAGGATAGCGAAAATATTCCTCCGTCCTACCACAGCCACGCATTTTGAGACACTCCATGAGCTGACTTTCTACAGAATACTCCAATAATGCATATACCTCTGAACCTATCAAACGGCGGCGATATACAGATAGCGGTAGAGTAGTTTGGCCCACCCTTTAAAGACGTCTTAGCCTACCAGCCTCTTCCTTTCTTAATTGAAGGGTGCTGTCTCTTCAAGGCGAATCACACACATCATCTAGCCGCAAATTGATCAAGCCACTGAGCACAGAAGTGGTGATAACTCACGTAGCGAGAGGTAAGACACTAAATGTACTCGAGTGCTCTTTCACCCCTTCACCGTATGATACCAATAATAATTCCATGACGCCTGTGAAAAGTTCCGGACTTGCATCAGCGCACATATTTCTGGCACTGGAATTTCCAATCCAAGACGCGTACTCGAATACGACTGAATGTCTCCCGCGGCTGACGCTAAAAAATGGTAAGCCAGTTGCATGTGGTCACAACCGGAACCCCATGACCACTTACCGACTTCCGTCCAATGCATCACGAGGCTGTAGCAAAGGCAGTGAACTGTTTCAACCGGAAGTCTCCCGGCCATGTAGGGGTTTGTGCCAACCTGGGGTTTCTAGCGGGAACCCGCGTTATGGCCGCAGAAAACCCATCCAGGTGGGTTGTGATTTTTCATGTAGTCGGGTGCCCCCCGTAGCTTGTACAGTCCCGTTTGCAAGTTCTCACGGGTAGAAAGGCAGCCTGGAAGTATGATATCTTGGCCGCAGCCATAATGCGGGTAAAAAAAATTTGCCCCGCATGCGAGGTCTGAATCTTGTGTTTAACAATAACACTAGGTATGGGGATTTGTTTCGCTTCTCTCACACCGTATGGTATTGGAAACATGGTAGATGATTTGAGGTCTCACGGGGGATAAGGGGATACCCGGAGGGTTCTAGATCGCGAGAAGATGACGGAGGGTCATAATTTGGAAGGAGGGTGGATATCTTCACAATTCGTGGTGCTTGTTTTAGTTTCTGGACTTGTTAGCTGTTTGGATATATGTGTCCCGTGGTTACTTCTTTGTTCTTTAGTGTCTTTCCCTAGGTTTTACCAACATTATGAGGATCTTAAGAATTGATTGCGAGATCTAGCCAAAAAAACCTGTGCTAGTTCTGTTACTCTTGTATGGATGTGGGAGGCCGGACAGCTGGGAGAATAGGGAGGCTAAAGCCTACCGGTATCATAGGAAATGAAAGAACCACACCAGCATAGAAGTTTTTAGGACGAGCTTGGGGCTTTAATACCCCCACGGGTAATCTAATCCCCGACTGTCCGGTCGCCCACGTCCATACCCGAGTGAGGACGCAGGGGTACTTAGCTACTACACTGGCGTACCGGGATGGGGGGAGATCGGTCGCCGGGAGACTTACCCGAGAACGGATCTAAGACGGATTCACAGTATCCGTAAAAATAAGCGAAGTCATTTAAATTAAAAAGAAACGAACGAGAATAGGTCCTTTTTGTCCTTCACCAAGCATAGCGGCGGGACTTCCTAAGCCCTTTAGATCCGTCCTCCCTACCTGACCATGAGCTACTCCCATGACCGTAGGATTAGCGGTTCACCCAAAGTACCGCCACGGACATGGAGGATTGACCTAAAGGGGGAGGACGCTGGTAGTAATACAGGTGAGGGTAAAGCTGCAGTCGTGCCAAGTAAAAATTTCCAGATACGAGTAAATCAGTAAGAAGCTTGAGGCACGGGTACATTCAAATAAGGGATTTATATTTGCTTTATCTCGGTAGCTCAGTACTAGTAAAGGGCCATATTCAACTCCTCATAGCCATGGCCAAACCTCTCAGGGTTTGATGACGCAACTGTAAGTTTCACCACAGGCGCTTCCTTTTCCGACGTAATGATGCCTGTCGGTTCTCGCCAGATAATGTGGTAGTGAAGTCAGAGGTCGGTGGTGTTCAGTAGTCGCGGCCTCTGTTGAGGGGTAAAGTAAGATTTCCGATTAGGTCGCGGATGCTGATTAAGAAAACCACGCAGAATCTCTGCGCATTTTTCTTAGTCATCGAGGTAGGGGGCATCAACCTCCATGGGGCGAACAGCCAAAAAGTTATTCCGGTCCGACAAGCCCCTTCCTGCTGCCTTACAGTGCGTGCCACTGTAGGTTCCCCACTTCAGCATGCTTTCCTCCGCCGTTGATAGTTGTTTGTGTTGTCGGTGTTTGTAAACGGCTAACTTTAGGCCTACTCTGTTAACCTAGATGAGTAGGTAGACCGTGCGGCCAGGACAGATCATATCGGTAGCGAGACTCACCCCCGCTTCGTAAGCCCGGTTTTCCCAAAGCCTACATAGACTTTATGAGTGCCTACTAGCGACGATGGGCTTTGATATATCCAGATTAGCCAGGATGTATTTCGTCAACAGGTAGTAGTTATCAGACGCCAACTTATATCGCCAAGCACCAACCGCGCTCTACTGATATTTCCAACATCCTCCTCATGCAATGAAATACCTGAAGCTAACTTCACACACGCCAAAGGAATCAAATAGCTTTTCCGCGAGGTTCAAAGAGCTGAGAGTACTCGAGTAGTGCTGAGGCTACGCCAGCTCATACTGTATCACCTGACATACTCCTAACCTGAACAGTATATAAACACAAATTACCCGCATGTTAACAATTATTCTATGAATCCGAAGCTATTTTCCTCAACGGCCTGGATATCGTCCCGAACCTCGAATCCATTTTCCTCCTTGTATCGCCGCAGCTGCGTGTCTCAACAATCGCCCTCCATAATTTAGCAACTCAGCATTGGAAACTATTTTTTTTTTTACCCAGATGGTCTGGTTGGGAGCACAACTATTTTAAGCGAGCATATGGGCTTACGCTCCAGATTTCTACCAAGATTAGCACCCGAGGTCTTTCAACCCTAACCCACATAAGAAATCATGGCGAAGATAACATATCGCCCATTCTAGGAATACTTGCGCGCAGGAGCCACAACAGCCAGGTTGTTGAGGCTTGTTAGGGTGTCGGGGAGGTCTGGTCCGAGTACTTTCTCACGCACCTCGAGTACACGCCGGATCACGGTCTCTGATTCATCGTACTTTCCGAGATCACTCATCACACTTGCTAGGTAGGATAAGCACTCCAAGACGTCAGAATCGTTCGGACCCAATAGCCCCCCAATATCCTCTACCACATTCCGGAGTATGTCCTCTGCCTCCCTAGCCCTCCCTTGGTGTGCCCTCACTCGCTCCAGGAGCGTAAATCTGCTATAACCTTTATACCAGCCTTGATCCTTATTCTTCTTGCACAATCTGATTCATCGACCGATCTGCGCTTCTGCATTGTTGTAGTAACCCAAATCTAGAAAGTACTCCACCATGCGACAACGAAGATCTTCAGAAATAATATCTATTCTGCCCTTGGTTACCGCAAGTGCATGTGGAATGTATGACTTGCAAATATCCCGCACCTCATGCTCATATTCAGGGAGTATTCGGGAAATAGTTCTTTGTGCGTTGTCACTCCATTTACGCAACTCTACCGGTGATAGATAGGCTTGTATCGATAGTTGGATTAAGCGGTGAAGCTCATAAAATTTCCTGTCTTCATGTTTGATGGCGGTAACTAGTGAGAACCCCAATAGTTTCTCAACAGCCCGACGAAATTCAACCGGATCATCCATCCCTTCAACCCCACATTCTCTCAGGAGCTGCTCGGGTATATTTTGGCGGTCAACGAATTCAATTAGGCGCAAGAGATGGCCGGCTGTCGGCATCTGCCCCGTAATTTGGTCAAAAGTGATAAAGTACGTACTCAAAACACTTTCCGTCACGTTCCTGGCGGATATCGCTAAACTGCTGAAAAAAAGTAGCTTCGTCCTTCGCTGATCGTTCTCTCAGAAAATTGTCCAGTAGTCCGATGGTGGCGTTTCGGTCTCCGCCATGAAAGCTACTAAACCCACAACAGCGAGCGGCAGGTGACCGGCCGAACCCAGGATCATGGCGACAACCTCCTCTTCCTCACCCCTCAAGCTACCCCAGCTTCCAAAGTGTTCGAAAAAGAGTGTCCTGGCCTCACCATTACCCATTTTTCCAATATCGATCGTTTCACACCCTTGCCAAAATGCAACCTCGCGAGATCTGGTGGTAAATATTAGGGTACCTCTTGGGCCTTGTGGCACAAACTGAGCGATGGGACTGTTGTTGCTAACAAAGTCCTCCTCGTTGTCGGCATTGTCAATTACTATGATCCAATCACCACTGTCTAGACTTTCAAACCACCTCTTTACACTCAACAGGAATCCCTCTTCTTCCATCTCTGCGCTAGATAGGGGAATTCGGACTTGTTGCGCAATAGTCCTAAAGCCCTCCCTAAATTTCAAGGCCCCACTTCCTTGCACTCAGAAAATATCACAATCGCTCTCACCCGCGTGCTGATAAACGTATGCGAGGGCAATCAGAGTTTTCTGAGAAACGTTAGCAAACGCTCCAGATACAAAACTAATGACTCCATACCCAGCGCCTCCTAATCCATGAAGAGCGATCCTGTTGTGGCCATCCCACTTGCAAAGTCTCTCTACCGAGCCAAGGAGATCTTTACGGCCAGTGAATTTTCTGTTCCTGCTGTAGGGAATCATCATATAAGGCATTGATTCTTCTTCTAGTTAAAGTAGCACGTCAGTTCATTTCCAGAAAGCCCGCGGGAAACTTGAATATACTTCGATCCCCAGCACTAAACACGTCCTTGAAATACTGCTCCCAGATTGACAGCATCGTTCACGAAACCCAGATTCATGTTGTTATTGTTATTGTTACTACTACCGGAGACATTATAATCCCCCGAATTCCCATTGAATTTCCCGCTGGTATCGACTTGGAATTTTCTAGGAATATTAATAGATGAATACCGCTTTGTCTCCTCGAAATCGCGCAAAAATTAAAGGGAGGGTGAACCAACTGATCCATAGTGTTTCTGGCTCACACCGAGGCCGCTTTCGAATGTTGGGTAAGTGTCTGGTATGCAAGTTATAGGATGTCGTCGCTGGCGTGACTGAAACCAGAAGTGTAGCCTATTTGTCACCTATCGAACTACCGGTTGTTCAAAATAGTTTAGTGAGGCCCTAGGTCCAGCCAATAAGCGAGTAGAGGGAATGGTGACTGAGCAGTTGGCACGAGGACACTGTATGAGCAGTAGAGCGTAACGTCTTGGGGCAGCGAGGAGGAGGGTTGAAAATCTTCCCTCGGAAATCGTGGAGAAAGGCAAATAGTCCCAATTTGGTTAGTGGCCGGTGATTGGTGCATGCCTCGCTAAAGCAAGCGACACATGGATGATAACAACCTTGAGACTGTGAAGAACCTCGCTGCATCAATCAGTGGTTGTGCATTTTGGAACACCCTATGCGGAAGTTCCCTCAGAACGTAAAATTCGAACTTGCAAAATGGCGCCTATACATGAGTAGAGCTATCTGAGCCATCCTTTTGAAGAGGCCTTGGCCTATCACGCACTTCTTTTCCCGATAAAATTGTGACCACTCCAAGACGGATAACTCGCATGACCTTACCAAAAAATTGATCAAGCCACTGAGATCTAAACCGGCGCATACTGGTAATGGGGAAAAAGGTGGTGGGCACTCCTTCACCCTCGTAACAGGAATTCTACCACGACATTTGTACTCCTACTCGGGTATGGCGTCTGTGATCTGACGTCGGGGATTAGAGGTGTCAAAGCTTCTTCTTTGTTTGATCGTTTATTTCGTATGAGTACTGTACAGTCAGGCATTTAGAATCTCCGGATGTCCGGTATCCCACGCCCATACCCGAGCAAATACCGGGTACAGTGCGGTGTTTCTTGACTTCCGTCTGCTGACGTATGCGCGGCTGGCGAATACTAGGGAACTCCCGAACTACCTGTAGATGGCACGAGAGGCAGTGAACGTCTCCCACCCCTGACCGTAAAAAATGCCAAGAGAGTTGCACTCCGTCGTAACCCTAACCCGGGTATTACTCATGGCCTCCTGTTCAATTCAACGGCTCTAGCAAGGGGGTGGAGCCCAACCGTGTCTACCCCCCTTCAATCGGAAGTCCTCCCGCAATAGAGGGCTCTATGAAAACCCACACTTTGCCGCAAAAATCTACTAGCGCATATTATACAATTGGGATACCTAAATTTCATTGAATCGGCTTCCCCTACAACTTGCAAGTTCTCTACCTTCTATAACCTATTCACTGTAATAAGCGCACCTCATACACGGCGGGGACTGCAGAGGCCTCCTCAGGTACGGTACTCTGTAGCATTTTTTTTTTACTTTGAATCGAGGTGGGACCAAAAGGGATAGTTTTCGCCGATTGGTTCCCTTACAGATTACTCCAGTACCATTTCCTAGACAACGGAAATCCTAAACGCCACAGGCTTCAGGTTTAATAACTCTAGTGGATACCGTAAAGTACCATTCATTAAGCCCAGAGGCGCAGAGAACGTAATTTGAGAGTTGTTTTGTTGGCTAATTGTACTGGTGCGAACGTTTGATACATTTACGGACCTCTCGAATCCGCACCAGGGTGGTACTTTAGGTCGGGCTCCAGAACACCGTGATGAAGATTTCAAATCACTTTCTTCGTAATCTGAAATAGCATGTTAAACCCCGCCGGTATTTTCCCTTGGATTTTCCGCCGGGTATCACACCGGCTAAGGAGATACGCGGCTATCGCAGGGCGCGTGGTTTCGTGATGCGCAGCGAGTAGACACAGGACACAGGGTGTAGGATTTTAGTTTTGTTGATACCCGGTGCGGGGGGTCTGCTTTGTCTCTTTGACACCCCGTGCCATTAGGCATATGGTAGTTAGTCGTGGAGGATAATGAACTGCTCAAGAGTTCTACATTGCCGGAGGATTGCGGAGGATAATAATTTGGCGGAATTTTATGCTCCTCCGGAGTTTGAGGAGTTCCATCTGGTTTCCGGAGTTAGCTGTTTGGAGACATGTACGATATCCCCCCGCCTGTCAGTAGATAACATCTCCACCTGTTCGCCAGTTCTCACCATCCTTCCACATCCCGCTGCACTTTGCGCCTACTTTCATCGCACTTTCGCTGCTTCATCCATTAGTGCATTTCTTTAGGTTCCATCAGCAAGGGCGGCAGGAAAAGGGGGGAGTGGAACTCCAGGGCAGTTGATTAACTGACGGTAAGCAATGGGCCTGGCGCTGCTCTTGGGACTACCGGGCGAAGCATGCTCTAGAGCTTGTAAATCACCAGCGAACTCCTGTGCTAGCTGTTCCTCTGGGTACTTTGTACCTAGTGTTAGACACAGCGGTCGGTTCAAGGGAAAAGAAGTATGTTAGGTATGAGCTGGGGTACTTGTATTTGGATATTTGGAACAACCGGCCAATCCACCACCCGATATCTCAGCCATGTATTCAACGAGTTTTCACGGTACAGAGCGGAGCGGAATGAATCTTTTCTCAATTTCATGCGACTGAACTACATTCACTCGTCCCCCCAAAGCAGCATTAGTGCAAAGCTATACGAGGTAGTAAAACTACTGCGACACCGGACACCCTGGTGTTTCACAGGCTTCAGTGTACCCCCAGAGTACTTTCAACAGCTAAGTTTTCGGGAAGCAGTTCTATAGGTAGACTTGAAAATCTGGCTAAAAATCAGATTGTATAATAGAGGGGAAAGAGATATCTGATATGAGAAGACTCTCATGAGAGAAATAAAGAAAGTTAGGAACCACAGTGATATAGGCAAGGAGAGGATAAAGATAAGCGAATTGATTTAAACAGAAAAGTAACTATCAAGAAATGGGCCCTTTTTGTCCTTCGCCAGGTGTGGCCGGACTTCCAGAGTTCTTTAGATTCGGCCTCTCAATCCCAGCACGCAATACCGCTACTATCGCGGGATTTGCGGTTCATCAAAATTATTGCCACGGACGTGGAGGATCAAGCCAAAGACCGGGATGTTGGCAACAATACGGGCAAGGATAAGACCGCGGTCGTGCCGGTTAAAAATTTCTGCGTAGAAGAACTTAGGACGAGGATAGGGTATGGCCGAGGTGGGAAGAGCGGGTGGTTTGAGTGCACGAGGTACATTACTACAATGGACCGATGTTGGGTGTCAGCGTAGGATGCCGGCGATGGATAAACGGCCCAGTAGGTGGCGTGCCGTGTTATCTAGTGAGAATCGTTAGATGCCGGTATGTTCAAATAATATTTTTATGCTTGCATTGCCGTGACAAGGCAAGAAAGCGCCCTATCCAACTCCTCACCGCCAGGGCCAATCCTTCCGCGGCTCTGCCTTTGACGCAATTGCAAGCCCTACCACAGGCGCTTCGTGTTTCGACATAAAGGCATCTGCCGGTTCTCGCCAGTGAATGCGGTGCGGCAGTGAGGTCAGAGGTCGGTGGTGCCTGGGAGTCGCAGGTTCACTAAAGGGCAAAAAGGGGGAAAAGTGTGCGATGCTCTCTCTAGGTAACCTACCTAGACATAAGCGATGAGTAAAGTACTCGATAAGGTCGCTGATGCTGACTAAGAACCTATCCAGAACTCCTGCGAGTTTATCTTAGTCATCGAGCCAGGCCAGATGAACATATAACTTAAGGTAAACAGCCAAAAAGTGATTCCTGCCCAAAAAGTCCCTTCTTGCTACCTTTTGGTCCGTATCACCGTAGCTTCCACACCTCGGCTTCGTAAGCCAGACCCACAAGTGCCTACTGGCAACGGTAGATCTTGACATGTCCAGAGTAGTCAGTATGTACTTCGGTCACACTTATCAGAAGATGTTTGCAAATACCATCAAACACTAACGACGATCCACGGATATTTCTAAGGGTGCGTCTGGTTGCTACGGCAAACCTTCATTTTAAGCCTGATTATAGAGGTTTCCAAAAAATAGATAACCAAGCCCAAATGCCTGTATTTTCCTCCCAATATATTTTTTAATTTTTTTGAGTGACTTTTCTTAGGTTTGTTTTCACAGTATCATACCCATGGTGATCGCCACTGGCATGGACAAAGTACATTTCGTGGCTTCAACTCTGTGTCAACCAAACACACTGCCTTGCTCTTATTTGTTTGGATTCTGCTAACTTGTGATAACTACAGTTGGAGGGTGCAACTTGTGGTTTGCATTCTTAGCACCCCGGAAACTCGCGGGAAACGAGACGCACCCTAAATATCCGCCCATGCCAAGGGATATCGGAAGCTAACTTCACAAACAACGAGAATGAAACCCCCTAGTAGCACGTTCGAAGCGCTAAGAGTAGTGCTCATGCTGCACCAACCCATATCGCCCGACATATTCCTACATGAACAGTGCATAAACACAAATGGCCCGCGCGTTAACATTTATTCTATAATCACCAAGCTGTTGTCTCCGACAACTTCAGTATCATCCCGAACCTCGAATCCAATTGCCTCCCAGGATCTCTCCTCAGCTGTACGTCTCAACATGCATCCTTCACAGCGATTCAGGAGTAGAAACTGTTTCTTTTTCCTTGTTTACGCAGATGGCCCGGTTGGGTGCAACTATTGGGCCGAGTATATGAGCTCACACTCCGGATTTACACAAAGATTTACACCAGAGGTGTTTCAACCCTAACCCATATAAGAAATCATAGAGAAGATAACATATCACGCATCCTAGGCGCTTACTCACAGAATCCATCGATACATACACCGGTGGTCTGTGCAATCTATGTCGATACATATAAGTGTCGAAAACCCCCGGATGTTTGGCGCCAAATCATGTAATGTCACTCGGCAGCCAGCTGAAAGCGGAAGTGCGGGCCGGGCCAACTCCTGGAAACAAGCGCAGATTAGAGAGTTTGCGCAGTGAGACCTAGGTGGTGTTAATATAAGTTAACAATAAGGCTTGGCCACCTGGTTCTTTGGTCCCACCTGGTCAAGGTGTAAAAACCCGAAAATCGGACCTGGAATTGAGGACCACAAATGCCCACTTGAACTGCACTTTTATGCCTCTATTCAGGTATGATTTTATAGCTATTCTTCTCAAGGACAATCCTGAGAAGAGAAACTTTATGAAAGTTAAGAATAGGCTGATGGATTGACCTCTTAAATACATGGAATTTCAGAAACTCAACAATTGTCGGGAGTTTGATGGGCTGTTCATGCGAGTGGCAACCCCTAGTGACATCGTTGATAACTCCCACCTAGGTCTGCCTGTGCAAACTCTCTATTGGTTACCAATAGTGAGTAGGATTCCGTCACGATATCTTTTGGGAACTATTCGGGGCCCATGAAATGCGGGGCAACGCATCGGCTCTAACCGATCTCAGTTTTGTCTAGGGTCACGACGACGTGGCCGGTTGCAGACACTGCTTAGGGTCTAGTCTAATCTACAGCCTGCACGACAAGGTACTCTGTCAGCCCTGAGAGCAGGAAGTGGACAGATTGCGATTGATAGTCTGGCCACGGGCCATTGGCGAAAGCACGAAGGAGACGATAGCTTTACCCTGGCTGACTTAGCGGCTTGTAACGTAAGGTTGCAAAGTATTAATGGAGAAAGATGCCGACCAGTAGGGCCTGGGTTCTGGGGGCACCTCTGATCGTGCCTTCGCACCTACAAATTCGTGGGATTACGGATGACACAATTGGCAAAGGAGTGATCTCTTATGATTCTGCCGGGCAAAAGGGTAGCTGCCGCGACCTTAGAGGGCGATAAGGCAGAAGGGGATAATTAGCTAGGAAAACAAACAAACAAATACAAAGCTAACCGAGAGCATCGGCCACAGAAAATAAAAGGGTAAAATGCCCAACACTTTTTCCATCTCTCGTAACAAACAATTCAATAGTCCGCCACCGCCTCTCAGATGTAATTCTAGTTCCACACATTGCCTCATTTTTCGCGGTAGATTCCAACAGCCTCCCGTGCCAGTGAGAATCGGCAGCCCACCGAGGCCGCCCCTAGCCGAGAGAAACTACACCCGACGCGACGAACCGCCGTGCCGGACACCGCGATGGCGGAAGAGTGTGCCGAAAAATCGAGGCCAACATGGTCTGCAGGTTGCCGCTATGCGTTGTCGGGTTTTTTTTCGCTACCTCAGCCTGTTACCCTGCCTCATCGCCTCTACTTCAGCGTACTTTCCTTGGGATTCCAGCACAATAGCCAGGTTGTTGAGGCTTGAGAGGGTGTTGGGATGGTCTGGTCCGAGAGCGTTCTCGTCGTCCCTCCAGTGCACGCCGATGCATGGTTTCTGATTCCCCGTACTTTCCTTGGGATTCCAGCACATTAGCCAGGTTGTTGAGGCTTGAGAGGGTGTTGGGATGGTCTGGTCCGAGAACCTTCTCGTGTCCCTCCAGTACACGCCGATGCATGGTTTCTGATTCCCCGTACTTTCCTTGGACTTTCAGCACAACAGCCAGGTTATTGAGGATTTTTAGGGTGTTGGGATGGTCTGGTCCAAGAACTTTCTCGCATCCCTCCAGTGCACGCCGATGCATGGTTTCTGATTCCCCGTACTTTCCTTGGGATTCCAGCACATTAGCCAGGCTATTGACACTTGTTAAGGTGTTGGGGTGGTCTGGTCCGAGAACCTTCTCGCGTCCCTCCAGTGCACGCCGATGCATAGTCTCTGATTCCCCGTGCTTTCCTTGGATTCGCAGCACAATAGCCAGGTGGTTGAGGCTTGTTAAGGTGTTGGGGTGGTCTGGTCCGAGGACTTTCTCGCGTCCCTCCAGTGCAAGCCGATGCATCGTCTCTGATTCCACGTACTTTCCTTGGTATTGCAGCACAAAAGCTAGGTTGTTGGCACTTGTTAGGGTATCTGGGTGGTCTTTCCCGAGAGCCTTGTCACGCACTTCGAACACATGCCGATTCATCGAGTCTGATTCAGCGTACTTTCCGAGATCATTCATCACACTTGCCAGGTAAGATAAGCACTCCAAGGCGTCCGAATCGTTCGGACCCAATAACCTCCCAAGATCCTCCAGCACATTCCGAAGTATCTCCTCCGCCTCCTTGGCCCTCCCTTGGTATGCCCTCACCTGCCCCAGGAGCATAAATCTCCTATGACCTTTATCCCAGCCTTGCCCCTTATTCTCCTCGCGAAATCTAATACACCGATGGATCTGTGCTTCTGCATTGTTGTAGAAACCCAAGTGTAGAAAGTACTCTGCCATGCGGAAACAAAGATCTTCACAGGTATTATCCATTCTACCTTTGGTTACCGCCAGTGCATGTGGGATGAGTGACTCGCAAATATCCCGGAGCTCGTGCTCATATTGAGGGAACATTCGAGAAATAATTCTTAGTGCCTTGCCACTCCATCTATGCAGCTCTTCCGGAGATAAATAGGCCTGTATCGATAGTTGGACCAAGCGGTGAAGCTCATAAAATGTCTTATCTTCGTGTCTAATGGCGGTAACTAACGAGAATCCCAATAGTTTCCCAATAGCCCGACGGAATTCAACCGGATCATCCACCCCGCCAACGCCAGATTCTCTCAGGAACTGCTCGGGGATATTTTGGCGGTCAACGAATGCAATTAGCCGTAAGAGATGGCCAGCTGTCTGCATCTGCCTGGTAATTCGGTCAAAGGTGATGAAGTACGTGCTCAAAATACTTCCTGTCACGCCGGACTCCCGGCGGATATCGCTAAACTGCTGTGAAAGTAGCTTCACCCTTCGCTGATCGTTCTCCTGGAAAATTGTCCAGTAGTCGGAGGGTGGTGTTTCGGTCTCGGCCATGAACGCTGCAGAACCTACAACAGCCAGCGGCAGGTGATCGACCGAACCCAGGATCATGGCAACAACGTCCTCTTCCCCATTCCTCAAGCTTCCCCAACTACCAAAGTGTTCGAAAAACAGTGCCTTGGCCTCATCCTCGTCCATTTTTCCAATATCGATCCTCTCGCACTCTTGCCGAAATGCAACTTGGCGAGATCTGGTAGTGAATATTACCGTGCCTCTCGGGCCTTGTGGCACAAACTTAGCGATAGGACTGTTGTTGCTAACGAAGTCCTCCTCGTTGTCGGCATTGTCAATTACTAGGATCCAATCACGGCTGTCTCGGCCTTCGAACCACCTCTTTATACTCAATAGGAATCCCTCTTCTTCCGTCTCAGCGCTACCTAGAGGAATTCGAACATGTTGCCCAATAGCCCTAACGCCCTCTCCAAAATTTAACACTCCGCTTCCTTGCACCCAGAAAATGTCACAATCTCCCTCACTTGCACGCCGATAAACGTATTCGAGCGCAATCTGAGTCTTTCTAAGTGATGTTAGTAAACGCTCCGGATATAAAATTAATGACTGCATACCCAGCGCCTCCTAATCCATGAAGAGCGATCCTGTTGTGGCCATCACGGTTGCAAAGCCTCTTTACCGACTCAATGAGATGTTCACGGCCTGTGAATTTACGGTTCCTGCTGTAGGGAATCATCTGATAAGGCTTAGATGCTTCTTTCGCTTGCAATAGCACTTTAGCTCCCTGCGGAAAGCTCTCGAGAATGCTGGTCCTACCTCTGTCCTCAGATCTAAACGTACATCCTTGATATATTGTTCCGACGTTGGCGGCATAGTTCAGGTGGGCCATATTTAGGTTATTATGGTTGTTGCTGCCAGAGACATTATGATCCCCTGAATTCCCGCTGAATTCCCCGCAGATTCCGGCTCGGATTCTCCTGTGAATACCCTTAGATAAGCAGTTCTTTTTTCTTTCAATTACGCAGACATTAAAGGCAGGGTGAACCCACTGATCCATTGTGTTTCTGGCCCACTTTCTGACTGATTTCGAAAGTCGACTATGAAAGCAACAAGATGCCGCTAGCGTCACTGAAACGGGAAGTCTAGCCTGGTTGCCACCTATCGAGGTTTAAAATTGGTTTTCGAGGTCCTAAAACAAGTCAACAACCGAGATATGGTACGGCAGAAAGAGTAGTCACGGACCCAACCTTGGGTACGGAGCTTCTGAATTCTGTAATTTTGAGGTGGCTGTGGGTATAATCCAGGCTAGGGAAATACCACTGCAGTGGATTGGCATGCGGGTGTTCTGTAGGAGTTCCAGTAGAGAAACACCGTGTTGAGGAAGCGGGGAAGGATGATATTTTCTCTTCGGAAGTCTGAAGTCTTTGGCGCCCGGGCTGAGAAAAAGCGGGGCAAAAGCAAACAGCACAGTTTTCCACGCCACAGTTGGGTCGCTGCAAGTTTGGTCAATACTGGAATCGCTTTAATAATATGAGGTCACAATTTGGGTAGTCACCGGTGATTGGTGCATGCCTTGCTGTTGTTGCAGGGGAGACATGATGCGACAATAACTTTATGATAGCGAAAACTTTTCTCCATCCTCCCGCAGCCACACATTTTGAAACCCTCCAGCCGAGTTTTCACGGAACATAGTTTACATACTCTAGTATCATTGAAGCTATGAACACCGGTAGAGGAGCCTAGCCCATCCTCGAAATAATCCCTAGGATACCGGCCTCTTGCTTTCTCGGTAGAAGAGCGCTCCCTCTTCCAGGTGAATCACTCACATGATCTTACCGGAAAATTGATCAAGCTACAGAGCACGGAATTAGTGATAACTACCGTAGCGAAAGGTAACATTCTACAATACTACTTCACTACTTCACCATATGTTACCAACAATAATTCGGTGACACCTGCGAAAAATTCCGGACTTGCATCAGTGTGGATATTCCCGGAGGAATTTCCAATCCTAATGGTGCATGGTAATGCGGCTGAATGCCTCCTGCGGGCGCCGACGCTAAAAACGGTTAGCTCGTTGTATGCAGTCACAACCCAAACCCTACGACCATTTACAGACTTCGGCCCAATGCATCGCGAGGGTGTAGCAAAAGCAGTGGAATGTTTCAATTGGAAGTCTTCCCGCCATCTAGGGATTTAGGAGAACCTGGAGTCTCTGGCAAAAATCCACTATATTGCCGCAGGAAATACATCCAAGTGGGCAATCATTTTTTATCGGGTTGACCGCCTCCCCCGTGGGTTGTGCCAGTCCCGTTTACAAAGTTCTCGCGGATAGAAAGGGGTATCATAGAGGTACCTTGGGCCATTGTACCAGTATAAAATATTGTCCCGGATGCGAGGCCGAAATCTTGTCTTTAAAAATAACACCCCCACTTATAGCTATCAGGTATGGGTATTTGTTTTGTGTCTCACCCTATGGTATTGGGTACATGGTAGTCGGTTCGTGGTGTCACGGGGGATAAGAGGATATCCGGAGGGTTCTAGATTGTGGGAGGATGACGGAGGATCATAATTTGGAAGAAGGGTGTATTTGTTCTGAACTTGTGCTGTTTGTTTTGGTATCCGGACATGTTAGCTGTTTGGAAATATATATCCCCCGGTTCACTGCTCCACTCTTCAGTGTCTTCCTTTACGTTATACCAACGTCACGAGGATCTTAAAGATTTATTGCGAGATCTGGCCGAAACAGTCTATGCCAATTCTGTTACTAGGGTAGGGATTTGGAAGACCGGACTGCTGAGAATAGGGAGGCTAAAGGTTACTGCCATCATAGGAAATGAAAGAGCCAACTCGGCATAAAAGTTGCTATGACGAGTCCGGAGCTTTAATAACTCTAATCTGACCTCGGACTGCCCGGGGACTTGCGTCCATACCCGAGTGCAATAGGATGTTGAGGTACCGTATCCGCTACTATACTGGGGGGTTAAGACGGAGGGAGATCAGTCGCCGAGAGATCTTACCCGAGAATTGATCTAAGATTGATTCATAGAGTCTATGGAGATAAGCGAAGTAATTTAAATTAAAAAATAAGTAACAAGAATAGGTCCTTTTTGTCCTTCACCAAGCATAGTGGCCGGGCTTCCAGAGCGCTTCAGCTCCGTCCTCCCTACCTCACCATAAAATACTCCCATTACCGCAGGGTTAGCGGTTCGCCCGGGGTGCTGCCGGAGACGTGGAGGGTCAACCTAAAGGGGAGGGTGTTTGTAGTAATACAGGCGAGGATTAGGCTGTCTTCGTGCCAGTTGAAAATTTCCGGATAGAAGGACTTAGCCCGTGGGTATTACGGTATAAGGGTATGGCCGAAGTAAAAAGCGCAGCCGAATCCGCGAGGTCCATTACTACCATGGACCGGGTCGGGTGTCAACGTAGGACGTTGGAAATGGATAGACAGCCCAGTAGGTGATACACCTGCGTTATCTAAATTAGTGAGAACCGTCAGGCACTGGTACCGCACATCCAAATACGTCCCCCATCCTTTCTTTGCCTCGGAAGCGCAGCAAAACTCCATATCCAACTCCTCACTACCAAGACCAATCCTTCCGGGGCTCTGATTTCGGCGCAATTTTCAGTTTCACCAGAGTGGCTTATTAGGACGTAAAGGCGTCTGCGGGTTCTCGCTAGATAATGCGGGAATGAAGTCAGAGGTCGATGGTGTTTAGTTATCGTGGCTTCTGTTGAGGGGAAAAATCATGCCATGCCATCTCTAGATAACTTACCCGGACATGGATGGGTACTTGTACTGTACGCGTAGAGCAAGGCTGGAGATAAGGGCCGGATCACGTAGTGGATGCTGACTAAGAAACCCATGCAGAATTCCTTCACGTTTATCTTAGTCATCGAGTTAGGACCGATGAACTTCTATGAGGTGAACAGCCAAAAAGCGATTCCTGTCCAACAAGTGCCTTCTTGCCGCCTTTTAGTGTTTCAAGTGCAGGGGTGATAGTAATTTGTATGGTCAGCATTTGCAAGGCGACACAAGCCGCTCTGCCTACCAGCTGATGCCTATAGAGGACAGGTACGCCGCGTGGCTGGAGAAGCCCAAAGACTCACCTCGGCTTCGTAAGCCTGCATATTCCTAAGCATATACAGGCTCTACGAAAGCTTTCCGGCGACGGTAGACCTTGTCATGTCCAGAGGATTATAGTTTGTATGTATTTTGGTAACACTTATCGGAAAATGCCAGCAAATATCGTCAACAACCAACCTCGCACTACGCTATTCCTAATATCCTTCCCACCCAATAAAATCCCCGAAGGTAGCTTCACCGACACCGAGGGAATCAAATAGCATTTCCACCAAGTTTGAAGAGATGAGAGTAGTGCTGATTCTGGGCCGGCTCATCTGGCGCGACATATTCCCTAAATGAACACCGCATAAATGTAAATTACCCCCATGTTAAAAGGCATTCTGTAATTTTCTTCGACCATCTCGGTATCATCCTGAACCCTGCATCCGTTTTCCTCCTAGCATCTCCTTAGCCGCGTCTCTCAACAAGAGCCCTTCATTGCAATTCCGCATCGGGAAATGTTTCCTTTTTTTAACCCCGAAACTCCAGTTGGATACACATCTGTTTGGGCAAGCATATAAGCTCACACTCTGGATTCAGACCAAGTTCTGCACCCGGGGATATTTCAACTCTAACCCACATGAGAAATCATGGCGAGGGGAACATATCGCCCATTGTAGGAACTTTCCTGCAGAAGCCATCGATACATACACGAGTGATCTGTTTGATCTAAGTCGATCCATATAAATTATATGTCCTGAAATTGCCCTGAAGTGTAGCGATTATAGATTATCACTCGAAATCCCACCAGTATCGGGCACTAAGGCCCGACCAACTCCGGGTACCACCCAAAAGCCAGGCTGGTTATGGTTGCTGGACATGGCAGGATAGTTGGGGTCCACGGCTCCCTCCTTGACTTCTAGAACACCAGGAGTAGTGGTTTCTTGCTAGACATAATTATCTTTCTTTGGAAACAAGCTTAGTTGGATCAGCAATAGTTAGTAGAATTCTGTCACGATATGGTTCAGGATCTATTCCAGGCGCATCGAATACGGGGCAACGAATCGGCTCTAACCAATCTTACTGTACGTGATATCGTGACAGCATGGGCGGGTTGCGGAACATTGGTCCGGGGATAACCCCAATCCTGCTTTCGCGCCCGTGGGATGATTGATTACGGCATTGACCAGCGAGTGACGTCTTGTAGTTCCGCGTAATTAAAGAGTAGCTACCAGGATGGTGCGAGGTCGGAGGGCACAAGAGATAATGAGTTATGAAAATTAACAAATGCACTCCAAAACGAGACCGGAAACCAGAGAAAATAAAAGGTGACATGAGGGTAAAATTTACAACACTTTCTCGACACATAAGTATCTCTTGCTCGTAACAAGCGGTTCCGTGGTCCGCCACTGCCTCTCACTCGTCACTCTCATCATTTTCAGATATTGGCTTACTAAGGTTTCAGGGTAATCTGGCCAAAGAACCTTCTCGCGCCCCCGGTGCACACCGATTCAAAATCAAAATCACGTTTTCTACGATCTAAAACCTCATGGTAAATCTAGCCTAGGTGCGGTTAGGAGATACCCTCAGATAGGGCCTGCCGGTTTGTGATGCGAGGAGGAAGCATAGGCCAGCAGTTTCCCTGCTTTCCTCCTATCTTGATTGGGCACAGGGAATGGGTTTTTGCTTCTGTTGATACCCTTTGCCATCGGGAATCGAGTAGGGGATATTCTCCGTTTCTTTCACATCCTATGATGTTAGGAATATCCTAGTTGGTTCGCGGTGCCACGGAGGACAAGGGGATAGCCGGAGTCTTCTAGATCGTTACAAAATCCCAGGGCCACAATTTGGAAGGAGAGAGAGTTTCTTCGGAGTTTAAGGAGTTTCGCTTGGTTTCCAAAGTTAGCTGTTTGAAGATATATATCCCCCGGTTCGCATATTCATTCTTTAGCGCCTTTTCTTAGGGTTTGTTAAGATTAGACTGGTCTCCAAAAATAATTGCAAGATCTGGGTGAGACAACCTGTGCTAATCCTATCACTCGGGTATGGGCATGGGGGGTCCAAGCCTACTGCTATCATAATATTATGAAATAAAAGAACCAACCGGGCACAGAAATTCCTCTGACAAGCAACAAGCTTTGGTACTTCTGATCCCCAGACATTCGGTCACGTCTACACCCTAATCTGATAGCATGACCGGGGATCTCACTACTGCACTGGTGTATTCGGATCGGGGGAGGTAGGTCAGAGGGACACCTTATCCGAAAACGGATCCAATATTGTACAGTGTCCATGAATGCGGCGCAACCTTTGAAACCCAAGCAGAGAGAAGTGATCAAATGTTAACAGCGTAGGGGAAGGTCGAAAGAAGCAAAGTGGGGACCAATTCTTAAAGACAAAAAAAAACTGCTACTAGAATCGTTAAGAAGGAATACCAGCTCGTGGGAGGAGTGGTACCATAAACGTTTGCGGAATCAACTCTCCAGCTGCCCAGGATCGGTCTAGTACTGGCCGATAGGATTCAACGCTCATCAGCGCTGTTCTTGTGCTCTCTCGGGGGGGGCAAATTCATTCGGGGAACTTTGTCTTTGAGCTCGGAGCTTATATGGTTGAGGAAATCGTGGATTTCAAGATATTGCAGGTTAGAAGTGTAATCTATAAGAGACTCTTTACTCCTATCGAGAATCACCGCTGCTAGCCCTTTCTCGGTACTACGGGTAGACCGGGAAACGAGAGCAAGCGCCAGAATCTATTATAGTGCCGGTATTCTGCAAGGCTAGCCAGGACCGTCGCACGAAGAAAAAATACAGACAACAGTCACTCCCCTGCCGCGATTCCATCCTCGTCGCGTTTCCCTATTCCTAGCCGATATTTGCCATTCGCTCAACATTGATTCCATACCCTATCGTTCCTTTAGTAAGGTTATCCGAGGATCTCCACATCGTCGCTTTATTATGTGACAAACAGCAAATCTTCAAGTATATTAACGACCTATCCCTCCTCACCTTCCTGCACCCCTGAAGCTGGAATTGAATCTCTGGTAACGTGTCACGAGTGGTGAGGTGCTATCATCGCAGGGTTTTAAAGAATCTCTAGCAGATCCGCTACTAGGGGTCGCAGGTTTAGGGCGTTACCTCTATTCCATATATGGTAACGCCGGGTGCCTAGGTGTTTCACAGGCTTCAGTGCACCCCCGGAGTGTATTTCCAGAGCTAGGTTTGCGCGCAGGAGTTCTGTATGTAACTTAGCAATCGCGCCAAAAATAACATTAAATAGAAGACGGGAGAGGGATACCGCCATGTAGTGTGAGGGGGGTCTCGGGGGGGGGTCTTGGGGGGGGTCTTGGGAGGAGGAAGTAAAGCGAGTCAGGAATGACGGTGATACAGGCGAGGAGAAGTTGAAGTTAAGCCAGCTGATTTAAACTGAAAATTGAGCACCGAGAAATGGGTCCTTCCCATCCTTCACTATGCATATTGGCCAGATTTCCAGAGCACTATAGATACTCCCATTACCGCGGAACTAGCAGTTCACCAAAATTACCGCCACAGGGGTGGAGGATCAAGCCAGAGAGGGGGTGTTGGCAGCAATCCAAGGTAAGACCGCTGTCACGACGGTTGGAGGTTTCCTGGCCAACGTGGAGAGCACAGCCGAGTCGAGTCCACGAGATACATTACTACCATGGGCCGATTTCGGGTGTCAGTGTAGGATGTAGGAAATGGAGAGACGGTCCAGTAGGTGAGATACCGCGTTATATAGGGCGAACAGCCATGGGGCTAAGTATATTCAAATACGATTTTTATCCTTGCTTTGTCTTCAAAACGCAATAAAGCGCCACATCCTATCTCCTTGTGGCCGGAACTAAACCTTTCGCGGCTCTGATTTCGGCGCAATCGCAACCTTCACCAGAGCCGCTTCTCACTCCAAAGCAAAGGCGTTTTCCGGTTCTGGCCAGATAATGCGGTTGTGAACTCAAAGCTCGGTGGTGTCCACTAGCCGCGGCTTCTGTCCCGAGAAAAATAGGTGCGATTCTATCGCTAGGTAACTAAGCAGGGTATAGATGGGTAACCCGAGGCCAGCATACTGATAAGGTTGTGGATGGTGACTAAGAAACCATGGGGGATCACGGCGTCTTCTTCGTTGTCAAGGAGGAGCGGCAGGGCTGATGAACCTGCGAGGTGAACAGCCAAGAAGTAATCCCCGTCCAAAAAACCCCTTGCTTGCTGCCTTCCGGTGTCTACCGCTATAACTTTCACGCCTCTGTAAGCTTTCCCCAGCCGTCGAGCCCAGAGCCGAGGTTTTTGATAGTAATTTGTATGGTCAGTGGCAACGACACAGCAAGGGAATCAAATAGCTTTTACGCCAAGTTCCAAGAGAGGAGAGTAGCGCTGACGCTGCGCCAGCTGATACTGTATCACCAGACATAACCCTAACCTAAACAGTACATAAACACAAATTACCCGCACGTTGACAATTATTCCATGATCACGAAGCTATTTTCTCCGATGATATCAGCACCACCCCCAACATCGAAGCCGGTTTCCTTCTTGCATCTACCCAGCCGCGCATCTCGACAAGCACACTTCTTAGCAATTCAGCATTGGAACACTTTTCTTTTATTCTTTTTACCTAGATGGTCCGGTTGGGCGCTACAATTTAGGCGAGTAAATGAGTTCACACTCCGGACTCATACTAAGACTCACAGCCGGGGGTCTTTCAACCCTAACCCAAAAAGAAATCATGGTGAAGGTAACATATCACCCATTGCGGGCACTTACGTTCAAAAACCGTCGACATATACACCAGGGATCTGCTCAATCTATGTCGATGCATATATATGTCCATGGATCACCATCAAGTGTGGCAATCAGATATTGTCACTCGGAAGACTACTGAAATCGGCAGTGCCGGCCTGGAAAACTCCCGGAAATACGTGGGTCATTCGGGTGCGGCCCAAAAGGCTAACCAGTTGGGGGTGCTAGGGATGGTAAGATGGTTGGGGTCTGGGGCTTTCTCCGACCTCTAGAGCACCCGGAGCGTGATTTCTTTCTCGTCATAATTCCGTCTCCCTTGGAAACAAGCCTAATTATGCTACAAATAGTTGGCAGAATTCCGTCACGATATACTTCAAAAACCATTCAAGGTGGATGCGATGCAGGGTAACCAATAGGGCCGTGACAAAGGAATGACCACTTATGATACTCCCTGGTAAAAGAGTGGCTGCTAGCATCTTACCGCGTCATAGGGCAGAAGGGATAATTCGCTATGAAAATAAGCAAACACACTGCTAAGCAAGAACAGAAATCAGGGAAGATAAAAAGTTAAAATGCACAAAATTTGTTCTACAGACGAATATAACTTGTAACAAACAATTCAATGGACCGACACTACCTCTCATACTATAATTCTAGTTAGTTCTACTTATCTCCCCCTTGTTCTCGGTAGATTCCAACAGCCTCCCACGTTAGTGGGAATCGGTAGCCCACTTAGGTGACCCCTAGTCCAGAAAACTACATGCGGTATGGTGAATCGGGCAGCCGGGCACTGCGCCTGTGGGAGAGCACGCGACAGGAAAGCTGAGGTGAATAGAGTCTTCAGCTTGCAGCTATGCCTCGTCCAGTTTTTTTGGCACCCTCGGCCATGCACGCCGCCTCATCACCTCTGATTCATCGTACCTTCCTTGCGATCCTAGCACAAGAGCTAGGTTCTCTAGGCTTCTAAGGGTGTCGGGGTGGTCCGGCCTGAGAACCTTCTCGCATCCCTTGAGTGCACGCCGATGCATCGTCTCTGATTCCTCGTACTTTCCTTGGAGTGGCAGCGCAGCAGCTAGGTTGTTGAGGCTTGTTAGGGTGTCGGGATGGTCTGGTCCGAGAAGCCTCTCGAGTCCCTCCAGTACATGGCGATGCATCGTCTCAGATTCATCGTACTTTCCTTGCTGTTGCAGCACCCAAGCCAGATTGTTAAGGCATATTAGGGTGTGAGGGTGGTCTGGTCCGAGAGCCTTGTCGTGCCCCTCCTGTGCGCACCGATTTAGCGTCTCGGATTCATCGTACTTTCCTTGGAGTTGCAGCACCCAAGCCAGGTTTTTGGCGTTTGCGAGGGTGTCTGGGTGGTCTGGTCCAAGAACTTTCTCATACCCCTCTAATGCACGCCGATTCATGGCCTCTGATTCATCGTACTTTCCTTGGTATTCTAGAGCCAGGGCTAGGTTCATGGCGCTGGTTAGGGTGTCTTGGTGGTCAGGTCCAAAAACCCGCCCACGCACCTCGAGTGCATGAAGATTCATGGTCTCTGATTCGTCGTATTTTCCGAGATCAATCATCACCCTTGCCAGGTAGGATAAGTGTTGTAAATCACCGGCACTCCAATTGATCACCAGACCAACCTCACACCTCGGCGAAGTTAAGCGAATTACCGGAACCTTGTCCGGAGGTACTAGAATCTTCGCTCTTTCATTTGTCATGTTTATACTTGGATTTATAAGAGAGGTGGAATGTTCTCAGGCATGTTATGGATAAATGTAGAGAAAGGGACGATTGGAAGTAAAGTCAAGCCATGGGGCACATGGTGGAAGAGGAATCGTTGATTGGAGGAACCACCGGTTAAATGCGATGATGGGAGAAACTGAGAGAAGAAAAAAGAACGGGAAAGCGGGATATGGCTGATCACACGATATGAAGTGATGCGAACCAGGGGAGGTTGAGGTGAGAAATGAAGGAAGTTCCTGGATGTATATAAGGGCGCAGACTTGCCTATGAAGAGAAAGCAAGCACGACAATTGAGATCATTATACCAAACCGACAAACAGCTTCCAAGTGCGCAGAAAGATTCAACTCGGTCACATTTTATAAAAAAAATAACGAACAAACTCTAAGAATGCCACAAACAGAAACTAGAACACCGAGACAGAAACCAAGAGCCACCAATGCTCCCCCCCCACCCACCAGCACCAGGCTCAATAACGAACAAACCGTAATGCCCCACAAACAGAAGGTGGAACACCGCCAAGACCAGAACTAAGAGCCACCGACGCCCCCCCCCCACCCGCCTGGACTAGGCTCAATCATGAACAATCCGCAATTTCCCACGAACCAGAATACCACCAAGACGAAACCGAAGAGCCATCAAGACGAAACCGAAGAGCCACCAAGACGAAACCGAAGAGCCACCAAGACGAAACCGAAGAGCCACCGAGACGAAAGCAAAGAGCCACCAAGTCGAAAACGAAGAGCCACTAATGTCCTAACTAACGCCGCTCATCTCACACAAATTCGTACCTAGAAATACAATGCTATCAGCTTCGGTCTGCAACTTGAAATCTGAAAGACCAGCCTTTAGAGCCCGCTGGACATTGCCTTTATGTGGCGAACAACTTCCCGAAGCTTTTCTTCCCCCTCCACGGTCATAATATCCAGATTCCAGCGGTGTGCTGGTGCTGTATCAATGACAAATCTGGGATCGCCTTCAATGGCATCTGGGTCTAACCGGCGGCTCGCCCTATCGAGCCGGTAGATACAAATTTTCGTTCCCAGCGCACTTACTCCGTACAAGGTCTCGATTTCAACGTCCTCAAAAAGACGCTCGAATCGTTCCCGCATTTGCTGGTCTGCTTCACGACGACTAGAGATATGGCGAAGACTTCCAGAAGATTTAACCTCGAGAAAAAACACAGGATGGTGTTTGTGCCTAACAAGAAAGATGGTAGTGAAGTCCACCGATGTCAACTGAGTTGGACGTTTGTATTGCGGCACCACGACGTACTCCTCTTGGATTGGGAACAAGTAGGTGAGGAGGACATTATAGGGGCCGTAAAAGTTTGACTCATCCCGTTCGCCGCCCTCTGCTGCTGATTCGAATACCCGTGAAATTATTTCCGGCAACGTCATAACAATCTATTGAGTTGAATTAAATAGCTATCCGTTAGAAAATCCCGTTTTATTGGGGTAGCCACCAAACTCACCGTGGATGTCAATCTTCGCGAGTCTGAAGCTTGGTTGTTCCGCAGAAGGTTGTAGCGGATTGAGTTGTGAAAACCGAAATTTTTCTGGTCTGGGTATATTTATATGCCACGAAGCGCCAAGTTTTTTTTGTAGCTGCCCCAGTACCTGGGATTAGAATACCGTACGTGTCCAGAGCCGACAACCGATCACTGGGCTGGCAATGGCAGTCTTGCATTGCATACCTTTCCCCTCCTACCAGACAGCGCCATTTGGCGACTATGCCGGACTCCATTTCACTTCTGTGACTAGACATTAAGTTGCGGATCTCCCTACCATATTATATTCCGTTGGATAGCCAGATCCAGGATTCTAAAAACTGTCAAGCCTCGCTAATCACTCTATCCAGTCTATCAAATGGCACATTCCGAGGGTTTACGAGTTGAATTCCAACATCCCAGGAGAAACGAACTTTCATGGCTAGAGACGAAACAGAAGCAGCCCCATTTCAGAAGTTACTCGATTATCCTCAACGGAAATAGGGCAGGGTCTGTGATGGTGGTAGAAAGACGTGTTTGCTCGGGCACACAGATCGGAGGAGAGGAGAGAAGATTGATACTATAACAAACAGCTAACCAATGGTCTATCTATATAGACAACACCACTGTTGGGGTAGCGCCCCACATAACCACCACGTCTGGGGTGTAACCCCATACAGATAACACACTCCATGACTATCACACAGCCACCCATACATCTACATGCTCTGACATCTCCATCCTTTTCCCATAGCAGGGTTATACTACCATCAGTCTGTCCACTCGAAAAAAGTGCTAAGGGACACATTCTTGCATCGGATACTGAAGGTAGCTTGTATCCGTGGTGTAGTTGGTTATACACCAGGAAACCGCCCAGCCATTCATCTAACTCTTCCCCTAAGCCTGAATCGGGAAGTGGTGAGTCAGCCATTCGTTGAACACCGCATTGGCAATTGAAAACCAATGGAGCTGGTGGTGCTTCCACAACCGGGGAGTCGGAAAGGGGTGGGGAGGGGCATGGCTAAGGTACCGGTAGTGTTGCGAAGGGGGAGGAACTCAGGGGGTAGTGATCCCGTGCACTTCTTTATTCTAGGTTTTTTCATTCCCTGCGAGTCATTTTGGTATCCTTTTAAAGGCTCTTACAACGGGGGTGATGTGCTTGAGCAGACAGAATACTACTATACCACAATCTGCCATCTACCTCCATCCACCACCCAAAGCAATTCCAAAAGCCGATCTCTCCCTTGTCAGTGTCGTGGCCATTCTAAAAAGTGTAGAAGTGAAGGAGATGGCATACCGTACTCCCACTGGTGTCGGGACGGCCTTCGACGTCTTGATATGGGGGATATCACTCCAGCACACTCGGTCTCATCCCAACTGTAGGATACCCCGCGCTAACCCCCTCGCCCCCCCCTCGCCCCCCCCTCGCTTTCATGGTGATACCTTTCGACCATTCGCCTATTGGCTGGGAACGGGAAACATATTCAGGATTGTAGGGCGGGGCTTTTATTCACATATACAGACCCCCCTTGAACTCTAGCCTGGACCTCAAAGTTGTGCCAGAGTATTGTGTAGTCGAGTGTTTGTGTAGGGAATCGATCCTGGTGGCTTGGCGGTATTTTCATTCCAATTTATTTATCCTAGAACGCCGAACCGGCATACGTCTAGCTAAACACCCAACATCCCACAAAATAACAAAACACTACCATGGGTAAACCCATCTCGCATCCGCTCCACCCAAACATAAATCCAAAATTCCACTACCTACAGGCTTACGGGCACTTTTGAGGGATATTAGTGGAAGGAAGTGAGTTAGATGGTTACGAGTGTAGAATATGACGGGAATAATTAAGGTTGCTGTCTAAGTTATGGGCTGTTCTGTATGGGAATCCACGGAACGGAGGATCCCTAATTTGTCAGAAAAAAGAGAAAAGAAGGCACCCAATTTTCAATAGGATACCATCAACCGAGCAGGGAGGGCTTTGTCCAATTCTGGTGTGAACTGGTCCAATCACCAAGACCTTTGCCTATCCACTGTACGAATGGCTACTGCGAGTGACAAACCTAACCTCCGCTCGACACCAGAATATTCCAGCAGGATCTTATCATATGAGGAGATGCCTCCGCCATAAGAGTCGTTGACTCGTTGAGGGGGGCAAGTTGGCGGGACACAATCTAATTCTTCTTACAACACTTTGCACCCTCTGACCATACCATTGTTCAATTTTAAAAGAGATACACGGCATTAATAGACACCGCCTGGAGCTCTGCCACTCTTCCAGGATTTGAGCCTGTGATCATAATGAATCACATGTCTGACTTCTCCCCTGTAAAATCACATGTTTGCTCCTGTCCCGTAATGGCCAGAACGAGAATTGAAGAGTATTCTGTAAGTTTCATCCCAAAGAGAGGATATCCCGGTACGGTACCACCATATCTGCAGTGCCCCTTCACTTGTAACATCATGGCTGTGTGGTCGTATCTGATGCTATACTGTACTGTACACCTAACTAGGTCCCATCGCATAGTTCCCACCAAAAAATACTACCTTTTTCTTCTTCCTTTTTTTTGAAATCACAGCACACTTCGCCCCTGAACAGTCCCTCGAAGCCAGAACACCGCCCACAAATCTGCTTAGTATGATAGAAGAGATATTTACTCCTCAACCAATGCGATCGTCGTATGGTGCCGCTCGTCTATAACGTGTACCATGGGTGGGTGCACCTTGTAATGCTTTATATGACTAGGGTTAAGGGTAATATAGTTCCAAATGCCGATTTTGGAGTGCAGCGGTTCAAGTCCTATCACTTCTAAATTTTTTTTTAGTATTTTCTGTTTTGTTCAATGTATTAGCATCCCTCTTGACTGCTATTTGAAGCTAGTTTCTGGACTATACTAAAAGCTTTTGTTGTCTAATTTGTTCTCTTCGGATGTGAGATTTGAGGGTATTCCGATTGGTTCAAACTAGTAATACAGGATTATTACCACTA